CCGATTTTTAAGACTTATATGGGGAATAAACTGCGCCCCGTTTATACTAAATGCATGTGTTAGATACCTATATAAATACGCAACAAAAACAGGTATACTAACAGAAAAAGAACAGGAGGAATTAGCCGAAAATACATACGTTGATGATATAATAGTCACAGGAAACAACATTAATGAAGTAAAACACAAAATAAATGTAGCAGAGAAAGCACTAGGAAAAGGCGGTTTTATACTAAGTAAAATAAAAACGATACATGAGGAAATGGACGAAAACAAGGAATACACAGAACCTTTCAAAATACTAGGTGTCTCATACAACCCTAAAGATGATACACTAGCACCCACAATCGATAAGGACATGAATTTTGACAAATATAAGCAATTATCACAAAGACAAGCAGCAGCAATAGTAGCAAAATTATTTGATAAATATGGCAATGCAACCCCATATCAAACAAATGTTAAATCAATAATGAGATCTTACATAACCAACAATCCAAAAGCAGATTGGAATGCGAAATTAACAAAAGAAGAAAGTGCAGTGTTTCAACAAGTAGTGAGAGATGCTATTGAGGCAACCAAAATAAAGATACCAAGGAATATAATAATAAACAATGAACTTAAAGGAGAAATACATGCATTTTCAGATGCGAGCGGTCTAGCAATAGCAGCAGTAATATATTATGTATCATATGGAACAAACAAAAACAAAGTATCATTACTATGGGGAAAATCTCGCTTATCACCAAATAACGAGAAGAAAAAAGAAGATAAACAAGAACGAATAAACAAATCAAAAAAGAAAAAACCAAAACAAAACAATGAAAAAAATGACACGTTGAAGATTAACAGACTCGAACTAACAGCAGCCTGCCTAGCAATAGAAATGATAAAAACAGTTAAACAAGCACAAAAATTCAAAAATCTTCCAATATTTTGTTGGTCAGACTCCCAAGTAACAATAGACTGGATATATGCCAATAGTCACTCCACACCAATCTTTGTACGATCAAGAGTAAAAACCATTCTAAGTGAATCAAACAGAGAACAATGGAAACATATACCTGGGAAAGATAACCCAGCAGATATAGCCTCACGAGGTTGTACAATCAAAGAATTGCAAAATGACAAATATACCGAATTACCTGGTGTTACCTAGTGATTATTTCTAGTAACCGGTGTTGTTTTTCATGCTTAATTGAATTAGTTTAGCTTACTACTTGAACTTCTTTTACGTTTTTAGTAAGTTCTTGTTGTTTGAATACAAAAAATATTCAACGGGCTCTTCAGATGGGAAACAATCATAAAAAGAATAGCAGCATGGAAACGAATAATTCTTTTTTTTCCAATCCTCATAGCAGCAGGATTTTTTAAACAACGCAATACAAACAGCAAAAGAAGACGAATAGATTTCAGACCACTCAAAGAAATCTTTACAGCACACGAACATATAAAAGCAGAAAAGGAAGCAATAAGATTAATGCAAAAATGTTATGCTTACAAAGAATGGCAAATGCTACAAAATGGACAAAAAATACTAGAAAAACCAGACTTAGAATGGGATAACATGAACAAGTACATTGTTTCTAAAAGTAGACAAGAAATAGATTATAAAACAAAAGTCACCAAAGATGACCCAGTACAACAAACTTTAATATATCTACCGGTACCTAAAAAAGGTATGAAAGGTAATCTCATAAAATCATTTTTTATGTCGATACATAGAAACAACGGACACTGTTCAACAAACAAAATTTTAACAATAGTATTACAAAACTACTGGTCGCCAGGATGCAGAAAGATAGCAAAACTAGTTAGAAAAGAATGTTTTCATTGTAGAAGATTCGATGCCAAACCATACCAAGTACCCATAGCACCTTTACCAGATTTCCGTTATGAAGGACGAACACCATTCCAAAAAATTGGAGTAGATTTTGTAGGACCCCTAGAAACACTACACTTGAAAAAAGACAAACAAAATGAACGAAACGCCAAACAAAAAAACAAAAATAGAAAAAAGGGATCAAAACAATTTAAAGAAATCCAATCGAAAACAATATCTTTATGCGTATTCTCATGTACGGTAACTCGAGCAGTACACATAGAACCTGTATCCGACGTTTCATTAGAATCTTTTATAGGAGCCTTCGAAACATTTTGTCATAGACGCCATATAACACCAGAAGTTGTAGTATCAGACAATGCAATGACTTTTCGAAGCGCTTGGCCAAAATTTATGAAAGCTAACAAAGACTACATAAGAAAACGATATATGAAGATCACCTGGTATTTCAACGCTGCAAGAGCCCCTTGGTGGGGTGGATTTTATGAAAGACAAATGAGAGTCATAGTTTATATTCATAAAGACAAACCTTGATAAAACCTTCCAAACGTTGACGTTGCTCTTCGTTTAACTCGCACAGCATTTTAGAAATTGAATCACCCGAACTAATAGACTCCTTTGGAGCCTGATTTTCGTTCTTAGCTGGATCTCGATCTCTTTTTCGACGAGGAGTTACATCCATTTGTTCAATCCGACGCATCAGTTCCTGAAAATCTGCACAATCAAGTGGAGGGAAATAATCAACAACTGTCACTCAACAAATCACACACGCTACGACGTACCAGCCAAAGTGTGCGAGGGATAGCTTGGACCCGGTCCTCCTTCAGCCATAACGGACAAACGAACAACGCGATGAAGTCTACAAACGTCGATATTTCGATTTCTCTTTTTTCTCTCTCTTGACGAATGTGCACTTGCAAACGGTCGCAATCTTTCAAATACGCAATACGCAAACGAAAAACGATGCCGAAAAAGTCTAAAAAAAAAAAAACAATAAACGTTGATGAACATACGAATCAAAAAAGCCACTGGGCTTTCACGATTTACCAATACCGCACGTAATCACGAATTCCAAAAAGCAAAGTTCATCCCGCATCGAATTGGCCACTCGATACGTGATGAACCCCCGGGAACACACATAAAAACAACAAGAATTACAAACACTTTCTCAGATCAAACTTCAGAATGAGCACTTTTTTCTTAACATATCATCCCTTATAAAAGCGATTGCCATCTTGGAATCCTAAATTAATCGAGGAAACCCGGTTTTCGCGTGCGCGTTTCCCTACCTTACTTTTGGGCTAGCGACACCTAGTTTTCACGGAGCGCCGCTATCCCAACGGGGGGGTTTTTGTACCCGTGGCGGTGCGCTTTTGGGACAAAATTTTGGTCACTTGTTTATTTTTGATCTAAATGCCGTTTTTTAGCGCGTTTTTTAGCGCGTTATCCTTAAGGTGCCTTAGGGATAACGCGTTAACATTTTTAATCTCGAAAACAGAATATTGAAACTGAGCACAGTCTGATTCTGCGATTCGCGGCGTTCGGAAGTTTTCTCCAAGTGCAATTGTGTTCTCATTTTGTTGAATTGATCTGAGTTTGGTTTAGCCATTTTGTTCTGAGTTCTCCTAAAATCTTTAAACTGATTGAAAGTGCTTGAAAACTTAATCTTGTTTGTTGTTTGAAATATATCCGAAATTAGTTTAAGTCGGGGCTTTTACCGAAAAGCCCCCTGCCGTGTTCCCGGCGGATTGTGCCTTCTTTTTCTTTCACTTCTTTGAATTTTCAGCTGATTTTTATATCTTTGTGGTTCTTCCACCACAAAAGTGGTAGCAGAGCGTTAAAATAAGAAGTAACGATCTAAAGATAAAGATAAAAATAAAAATAACTAAAAAATGGCTCCACCAAAACGAGGACGTCCCCAGACCAGGGGGGCGAACAACACGTCAACCACTGAAGACAACCAACAACAAAACGAAAACCCTTCGGGGGTGAGTACTAATGAAGTGAGTAGTGAAGGAAATAGAGAAATATCACAACAACCAAACGAAGAAACTAACGAACAGGAAAATACAATCCAAGAACCAAATATACAAGTAGAAATGGAGATTGAAGAAACTAATCATGATGAACCAATAGAAATCGAAGAACATAGAGAAAATCAAGGAAAAAATACGAATACTTTACAAGGCGAAAATAATCAATACAATAAAATCATCAAAAATATTAAACAAGTGATTATAACGATAATAATAAAAATAGCACAACTAATAAAAATGGGAGATAAACACACACTAATTCAAAACGAAATACACAAACAAAAAGAATTTGAAAACATACAAAATAGTTTTTCCGAAATGCTCACACTACTAGCATCTGCCGAGAAAGATGAGCTTGAAATAGATTTACAAAACAAAATTGAAAACCTTCAAGACGAACTAACAAACATAGTTATATCACCAATAGACGAACTAGTGGAGAATTGGAACGCAATTCGTCCAACACCATGCACAATTGTGGGAATTAAATTACCTAATTTCAAATACACAGCCCCCCATATGCAAACACAAATACCCTCCATAAGTGGAATGGCTACACAACCATCAACATCCAATGCATATATTAGACATTCATTTGCTCACGACATAACTCAGTTAACAACATCCAATAAAGAATCGACGACAACAACAAAATCAGATAGATTAAAAGCACTTGGACTCGAAGTCGAAGAAATGAAAAATCCATTAAAAGAAGAATTAAAAAGATATGGCACTGGCAACTTCATTGAATTCGATGGTCAAAACGCTGCAA